ATGTCTGCCAGTGATCGATGTGAAATTGCTTCAGCCATTGGGTAACGGAATCGCTGGTGTATGTGTGAAAACTGCTGTAAAGTGGCGGTAAAATGAATTTGCGCCGTTTTACCAACATAGTAAACCAAACTTAGAACCCGCGATACTGGTGCAGACGACGATGGTCGAACAACCAAGAAAAATAAATGGCGGGACTTTGGTGTTGCACATTTAGCACAGAAATAAAAGACACGCCCACAGTTGGACAACTAATCATTTTATTATTGGTCACGATGTACCACGGATCATCTCCACGTCCTTTGTAAGCACCACATACACGATGTGCCGCCATTCAATAGCGGGATAAGCCGCTTATCAGCGTCAACTTCACGTGAACAACACGACGCACTTGCTAAGCCAGACCGTCTGGTGGCGCCCCACTATTTCCTCAATAACCAAATACATGTATACTATTATCCCGTCCCCGAATTGGACATTTGTTTATTTGGAGTAATTTCCAATTCTACTCCAGGTTCTTAGTAATTAATGATTCCACGTATTTATTTGGCCGTTATTTGACAGACGTAAAATGCCATAATGTTAATTCGCGGAAATTTAAACACACTGATAATGATAATGAATTAAAAAAATCCAAAAAATCCAAAATTTGCTATCCCATAGAAATATTTGAAATCAAAATATTTGGCAATATATTAAGTTTTGCGTCGCATGCATACGATTGAATTATCATATAAAATGGGCCTAATATACCAATGTTGTATTTATTTAATTGTAAAAACGAGTTTACATTCTGGAATGACCACGATGTACCATGGATCATTTGGAGTTCCAAAAAGATTAAGAGCAGTTTTCTAATGGTTAATAAATTCAAATTCTAGGCAGTAATTTCAAGTGATATTGTAATTGCAATTGCCACAACTATTTTGTTCAACAGGTGGCATGTATAACCATGAGGGCGCTCTTATACCTGGTGGTTGGTACACTGAAGAAACCACGGAAGGATTTCTAAACGAGACAGAGTGCGTCGTTGATTTATACAACAGCTATTGCATGCCTCCATGGACTGATCTCGGATGTGTATGTATCAGTAACTCTTATTTTGCCAAAATTGATGAGAAGTGTTTGCAGAATTCAACCTCAGCCGATATGGGGAATGAGTATTACCAATTGTTTACTTGGTCACAATGTTGTCGAATTGGTTTTCATGTATTGGTATTACTACTCTTTTTTGTTAGATTGACGGTGAATTAACAAAATCTGAAAACATCGCCGATTTGGGTGGAATTAAACAAGCCTTTTATGTAAGTACCTAGTGTGTATTGGTGTCCTTTATCTGTGTTTTAAAGTACCCAGTATATAATGGTGCCCTTCATCTGTGTTTGGAAGTACCCAGTGTGTATTGGTGTCCATTATCTGTGTTTGGAAGTACCCAGTGTGTATTGGTGTCCATTATCTGTGTTTGGAAGTACCCAGCATATATTGGTATCCTTCATCTGTGTTTTGAAGTACCCAGTGTGTATTAGTGTCCATTATCTGTGGTTGGAAGTACCCAGCGTGTATTGGTATCCTTCATCTGTGTTTTGAAGTACCCAGTGTGTATTGGTGTCCATTATCTGTGTTTGGAAGTACCCAGTGTGTATTGGTGTCATTCATCTGTGTTTAAAAGTACCCAATATATATTGGTGTCCTTCATCTGTGTTTGGAAGTGCCCAGTGTGTATTGGTGTCCTTCATCTGTGTTTAGAAGTACCCAGTATATATTGGTGTCCTTTATCTGTGTTTGGAAGTGCCCAGTGTGTATTGGTGTCTTTTATCTGTGTTTGTAAGTACCCAGTGTGTATTGGTGTC